TGTGTGTGTATGTTTCTCCAGATCTGTTTGTAAATTTGCTTCTCTTTGGTCGATCTTCTCTTTGGTGGACGATTGCGATACTCTTCGATGATGGTGATGAGTACAGGTGACACTATTGGCAGCAGAAAAGCGAGCACTAAGCGAAGTTGATCAGATGAAAGAGCAACTTCGCAAGTTAATCGAGGCCGAACGAAAGGAACGGCGAAAGTTGGCGGACGAGGAGGCTTTGGGAAAAATTCAAGCGTTAGAAGAACAGGTCGCACAACTCAAACAGGGCATCGCTTCACAAAAACAGGAAGAGGTAAACATGTTTATTGCTGCTAGCACCGAATCCGTAGTGGTTAACAGAAATGAGGAGCAAGCCTTAGAAAATGTTGGTGTCTATAATGCCAGCTGCACGGTGGACTTCCCGAACAAGTGGGATGGATGGGCGTCTTTCCTAGCAGCTGAGGCATTAATTATATTTTGTTAACGACATTCTGCAGGATGCTCTCCTTCAAGAGATGGAGCTAACGGGTCAAGCATTCGAAGATATGCAGGAGCAGAATCAGCGACTTATACAGCAACTAAAAGAAAAGGCATGTTTATGCATTAATGCTTTTTAATTATAGAGAAACTACTTAATAGGATCTGGTCGGAAGATTCAAGTAATTTAGTGTTCGTAGTATATTACTGGGGCTCTCTTAATTTTTTCCAAGCATTTCAACCCAAATTGCGAACGAATCCGTTAATGCCTTTACATGATGTAGGATATTGGTATTCCACAGGCAAACCACCAAGTTCCAATTTCTCAGATACAATTTAATTCAGAGGCTCATTGATTTCATTACTTATAGGATGATGCAAATTTCAAATTAATGAGTGAACGTATTAAGGCATCACAAATGCAGAAGCTCCTTAAGGAAGAAAAGCTGATGCTACAGGAACAAGTCAATACGCTGCAATCCCAGGTGGAAGCTCAAAATCAGGTTTGTCTTAATCATATCATCAAGGCAAATTTTCCACTTGCCAAATTTCAATACTCTATTGATTATTACACTGTTTTTAAAGCGTACAAATTTGTTCATATATTTTAACGCCACTAAATTGCTAGCAGTACAGTGAACTTACTAGAGACATTTGCACGGTCTATTGTGGTCTATAGGTCGTGCGTAAGCTAGAAGAAAAGGAACGACTTTTACAGGCTCAGCTATCGACGGCTGAGAAAGAGCTTAACTTGCGGCAAACATGTATGGAGCTTCACAAGCGGAAAGCGCTTGAGTCTGCACAGTCGGCCGCAGACCTCAAGCTCCATCTCGAGAAGTACCTCGGACAACTCAAGGTAACTAGTAGTTCCGTATGAGAAAACTTAAACGATATGCCACAAGTGCCTAACTGCTAAAGCTTGGTAGAAGTTTCGTTGTTGAATTGCCTATATTTGGTTGCAGGGAATTCGCCAGTGACCTCATGTTCGTGTTCTGAAAAATACTGTAGATATTATTACATGAAAATCAAAAAGGCATCTATATTGTGGACGTCCTCGTCTTCGTTCGTGGAACCTGCCAAATGTTTTTTTCTTATAGTTTTGTAAACAATATTTTTTTGTGAGTATGGATTTGTGGGTTAGTAAATACATAGTAGTATGCCCTTATGACTATTGTGTGAAAATTATTTGTTTTTCAGGACGCACAGACTGCGGTTACGGATAAAGCTGGAGCGTATCGTGACGAGGCATTTAAGAGCCGTCGACTCCAAGAAGAGATTATGTCCCTTAAACGAAAGGTGTTGCCACTACTGTTAAATAACTTGAACTAACACCGTTCCGCATTCAGTACTTTTTACGATACGAGAATTGTTTTATGTTACCTACTCGTACGATCCGTTTCAACTCTTTTACGAAAAAAAACGTGTACAGTATAATGCGTTGTGCAGTTTCTTTGATGAAAACATTTTCTACAAATTTCTAATGGAGTTTGGATGTTCGAACATTATAAAATGTTTTGTTGACCAGAAATTTTAACTTTCGTTTTAGTTGGAAAGAGCAAAAAAGTTCGAGCTGGCTACCAACTCAGACGAGGTTCTGCTGGAAGAGATTCGGGAGTACAAGGAAACTTTAACTTGTCCATCCTGCAAGGTACAGTACTGCATGCTACACACATTCATTTAAAAGGTCCAGAGTGAAATCACCGCTAGTTCTGACTAATAGAGGCATTGGAATGTCCGTAGCTCTAGCGCTTTATAGGCAACAGTTCTCGGGGTAGTGAATTTTACTTTTTTTTTTTTATTATATAGCGGCCACGTACTCATATGCATACTTAGGTACGAATGTGGAAGCGACATATAGTCAGTAAGATTCCGAAATTAGTTCATCGCTAATTAATCATGACGTAAGTGCTAATGAAAACTTCTCTTACACAATACAATACATAGGTAAAAAAGAAGGACGCGGTTCTGACGAAATGCTATCATGTATTCTGCTACGATTGCCTAAAAACCCGCTACGAGACTCGGCAACGAAAGTGCCCCAAGTGCAACGCAACGTTCGGAGCCAATGACTACCATCGACTCTACTTGTCATAAATGATTTGTAGTAAAC